GAAGGAAGGAAGGGAGGGAGGGATGTGGGGAAGGAATGAAGGAAGGAAAGAAGGAAAGAAGGAAGGAAGGGAAGAAAGGGAGGCGGGGGAGGGAGTGAGGGAGGGAAGGAAGGAGGAAAGAAGGAAGGAAGGAGAGAGAAGGAAGGGAGGGAGGGAGGGGTCTTGTTTAAGGATAAGTTATTTGAAAATATTATTATGCGCATACTCACTCTTTGGATTCCTGAGTTCTTTTACTAACGTGCTGTACAACTGTGTCATAGCCACATTCTTCACCCTGATTCTCATCAGATGTGCATTTTTCCATTTCTTCTTCAATCATAGAACCCAAAGTGGTGCATATATGCTGTCTAAGGTATTTCACAAATTCATAGCTGAAACAAATATTTAGAAAATAAATGCAGTAAATATTATAAGCATATTCAGGAAAAAAGGTCAACGCAGAAAGGAAACATTAATATTTCCTACCTTAACTAGGATTTGATTGGTCATTCATCACAAACCATCAAGCTAATCTACAAATTTTTGGCTTTTTTTTTTTCAGGGACACTTGGCAAAAATCATTTAAAGATTACCACAGTAGGGAAAAGCAAATTTCAGAAGCAGCCTAAACTTCAGTGGGTTAGGAGTCTCTTCACATTTCTTTTTTATGCTCCTATCTTTAACATGTGACAGTCAAGAGTATGAAAAGTAGTTGTTAAGGATTTTCAGTTATTCAAGTTGATGAGGAAAATCATCTAGAATATAGTAACTATTAAATAGGAAATTAGAAAAAAGTTAACTTCCATCATCACAAGAGTTTTGTGTACATCTTGAAAGTAGTAATTAATGTAACTTCCACCTAAACAGTTCTTACCTTACTAAGATTATCACTATTATTAAATTCAAGACACATTTTGTCTTGGTATTAAAGCCCTCACAGATTCCAATTTATCACACCAGATCTACGTCCTGTTACTACCTACACATGCCTAACGCTCCATGTGATTTTTATTCCCAATACCTTTGAAAACATTATTTCACCCATTTACAGTGTTTTGCCACCACTCCTATAGATATCTTCTATAGCCTAAAATGCTACCTTCTGATAAAAGCTTTCCTTTTTCCTCAACAACTGACATCCTTTCTCACCAAAGACCCAAAAGTACTCTGTCCTTCTCTATCGGCACTCAAAACACTTTGTTGGGTGCAGTTATGTGACCTGCTTTATCGTCTACTTGGTTCCTGACCACCTCTAAGCCCAGATGTCTACATTGTTGATAGACTTGACAACAGAACAAATCCACTTGTCTATCATCTGAAATATTCTGTACATAGTAGACACTTTATAAACACTTGTTAGATTGAAACACAGCACTGGGGAAAGGTTTTTCTCTTCATTTTCTACATCAGTGGCTGTGAATTTGAACTTGCTTATCTTTTCTAAACGTTTGTTTTTGTCGTTAATTCCTCATTCATTTAATGTCTATTAACACATTTCTGATGACATCATGCTATAATTACCCCCCATAGATGGCTTCGTATCCTTCCTATAATCTCGTATAAGAAAAAGAAAAGAGGAATGCAAAGAAAAAAAAAAGAAAGAAAGAAAGTGTACAGCAAAAAGCACTCTCCTCTTTCCAACCACCCACAATTTTGGCACTAACAGCATTGTTTTTTAAGATTTTCAAACTTGAAAACATGGAATGCTCTTTCATGTCTGCATTTTCTGCACCCCTTACCCATCAACTCAATCATATCCATTCAGCCACCAATACATGTTAATGCTTCCTGTACATCTCTGACTTCCATCACTGCCTCCCTTTTTTCTCTATCAATCAGTTCAAAGCCATATCACTTCACACAGAGATTACTGCAGCAGCCTTCTTGTCTTCTCACTTCTGTCTCTTCTCTTCCCTCTCATATTCATGCCCCACACTGTAGTCACATTAGCCTTCCAAAATAACTGATTTTATTATTTCGGTCACAGCTAGAGCCATTTTACTCAAACCAATGCCTCATACCATATCATGCATGCACATAAAGTCTCAATAAATATTTGCTGAATTAAAACAAAATTATTGGCTGCCTATTATCTTCCATGGTCAAATATAGCTTCCTTGGCCTGGACTTTAAATATCTAACCAATCAGATCTCTTTATAAGAGTATCTCTACTAAAATGAGGCTGCATTCAATATTCCCAACAAACCTCCAACCATGTTGATCTTATAAGAAAGTGATAAGCTGGTCAGGCACGGTGGCTCACACCTGAAATCCCAGCACTTTGAGAGGCTGAGGCAGGCAGATCATGAGGTCAGGAGATCAAGACCATCCTGGCCAACATGGTAAAATCCCGTCTCTACTAAAAATACAAAAATTAGCTGGGTGTGGTGGCATGCGCCTGTAGTCCCAGCTACCCAGGAGGCTGAAGCTGAAGAATTGCTTAAACCAGGGAGGCAGAGGTTGCAGTTAGCCAAGATTGCATCACTGTACTCCAGCTTGGCGACAGAGTGAGATGCCATCTCAAAAAAAAAAAAAAGTAATAAACTAACTTTAAGTGACTGCCATGCTAAACTCTGTGCTAAGCACTTTATTAATATTTTATTTACCATGTGTTAAGCAAAATAGATGACACAGATTCAAAACATGAAAAAACCTTGTTAAATTCATAAGCTACCAATTCGTTCACTTTACTCCAAAGCCCATGTTACTCCCATTAAACCCATAATCCTACACTGTCCCAAAGATGTAAAAATATCAACAACGTTGTATTTTGTACTTGTAAATAGAGTGAAAAGGGAAATAAATAAATGTAATACTCATATCTTTACCAATTTGTATATTATTTCAATTTCTTTCATTTTGAGAGAAAAATTAACAATTTATTCTCCAAAAATTATAACTGGCATATTAAATTTAAAAGTATAATGTACTTAAATATTTAAATTATTGATTGAATTTACTTTAAAATGTTCAATATTTATACTCGATGTTTAGCTAGTAAATTATATGCATTAAGGGAGTAAGTATTAAGAAGAGTAGAAGAGGAAGATGAAGCTATTTTGTAAAGCTAATGTCCTATACCATTAGATTGAAATAGCAAACATTAATTTTCAAAAGTACAATCCAAGAAAAACAAAATCCAAAGCTCACTGAATCATATATCATAGAAAACAGCCTCTAATCATTATCTAAATAGTTTGTGCTTCTTTTGGTAATTCATCACTGCCTTATATTATTTGAAGATCTTCCCATATACATGGAAACTTCCTATCTACACTAAATATTAGCTTATTATTTCATTTGTGTATGTCCAATTATAAACCAAATATTTGCACATTCTATATAAAACAGCGAAATCACACAGGTAAGAAAAAGAATTCAAAAATTAAGGTTTCAAGAGAACCCTAAAGATGCTCTCAATTGTATCATATCTGACAATCCTCATACTGCTTCTACACACAGTTGGCTCTGAGACAGAGTTGGCAGATGTGCATGATGACGTAAGTCAAAATAGGCTCTTAGTTCTCCACCTCAACCATGCCTTAACAACCAGGAACCCAATGAATCAAGAATCAGAATATCTGATATTTCAATTCCATAAAAGTATCACTGCTTTCTTTGAAACATCTTTAAAAATGGAAAAAAAAAAAATCCTAGAATGGATTATTCTTTCAACCCAACCATTATGACCTCACATCCAGCCTTTTACTACCAGGCAAAGAAAGAAAAACGAATGTGATAGAAAGTACAGAGAGAGGAGACTGGAGAGGTCCTTAAAACTCTACTTCCTTCACAGTCCTGCCCAAAGTTAGTCAGACACACCACTGTTTTCCTCCACACCTCTGAAATATTTAGCAGCAAATGGAAGATGGGGATAGTCTAAGTTTTTTCTCTGAAATTGAAGGAAGAGTCTCTCTGAAGATGAATTCTACATCTCACCACCAATACCTACTATGAAAAGATAGAATTATCCTTATTTCTTAGTTTTTATCAGCCAATTAGAAGAAATGAATATTTAACTGAGAAGTATAACTCTGGGTATGCTTTGTTATAAAGCCCAATCTGTAAGCAACACAAAGGATATATCTGTAATTGAGACCATAAGGAAATTTAACACAAGCACATTAACAAAATGTAGTCAATAAAGCTAAGAAAACACAATTCTAAGATAAAAGACACATCAAAAAAAATCCCTACAGAGAAGGAAGGGATAGAGAGAGATTCTTAAAGGATACAAAATTATAGCTAGACGGGAGGAATAAGTTCATGTTCTATTCCACTGTAGGATGACTATAGTAACAATAATGCATTATATAGTTTCAAATACCTACAAGAAAGATGCTGAATTGAAAGAAATGATAAATGTCTCAGATGATGAATATGCTAATTACCGTGATTTGATCACTCTCCATGAATGGAAACATCACTATGTACTTCACAAATATGTTCAATTATTGTCATTTTAAAAGTAAAATTCATTTTTTAAAAAAATCTCCACATTTAGCAACAAATGCAAACAGCAAATATCCTGAAAAACTTTTAAATCTACTCTGTGGATATTTGAATAACCTCATGCTTTTTTCTAGTGACATAATTTTTACCTGTAACCACAGTAATATCTCCAGAAGACTCATTCAAAATGCTTTCAGGTTTTCATCTAAGTTCTAAATTAAATGAACCCAAGGTTAAATCTTGTTTTAAGAGGTTATTGCTCTTTTCAAAAGAATCTTCTAGAAAAAAAAAAAGTCTCCAGGGGTGGAAAGGCCCTTTATCATGAAAGGACTGCCAGCCTGCCTTTATACCCTCAGGGTGTTCTGCTGACTCAGGGACCACTGAGAAACTTTGAGAGCCTCCAATCCCAAATTAATGAACACAGTCATTTCTTCAAGTGGGCCTTCTACTCATTAGGTAAGAGTACCCAAGACTTCAAATTTTCATCTAACAATTAATTTTGCATTGTTTCTTTTACCATCGGAATTCATGGCAGTACCCCATAAAATACTAAATAAAGTAGCTAATGGCGCCCCAGGATAGAAAATATTGTTACAACGATGAGAACAACAGACACTGAGACTCTAAAAGATAGGAGACAGGGAGGAAGCAAGAGAGTTAAAAAAACTACCTATCAAGGCACTGTGTTTACTATTTAGGCAACATGACCAATAGAAGCCCAAACCTCAGCATCATGCAATATACCCATGAACAAACCTAGGCATGTATTCCCTGAATCTAAAAAAAGAAAATTATTATTACAATGAAGCAGGGAAAAACACAGTTCTACAAAATTAAGTACTGTGTTTCCCACACTGTAATCCTGATAGCATTGGTGCTATGTACTAGCTCTTATGAAATCTCTACCTCATCCCAAAGATTGACAGTAACTACCAATTT